ATGTTTAAAGCTGGTAAAACCGCTGAGATCTGCAGCTAGAAGCGTGTTTTCCTGCAAGTCACMGAAAAGTAACTGTTTGGGCTATTTTTATTTTTGTTTTAATGCTCCACTGGACTCTAAAATGAGCAAAGCCAGCTTGAATTTCTAGGATAAGTTTAAAAAGCAGTAGTGGCTATAGCAGCTTTCACTGCTGTTCAAATCTTGACAGCATTAGCTTTAAAGCATTGAGCTTTATYGTCTCAAGATTTTTTTTCTGGTTTACATCTCTGTGGTGTTCTAACTTTTAAAAGAATTATCTGATTGCATAAGGAGCTGTTAGGGCAAAATCCTTTCATCAGCCATTTTAGCATATTCTTTGAAATTAAATACTCCACTAAAATCAGTGTAATGTGTGGGTTTTTTTGAGTTATAATGAATTTCATGTATTGTACCTTTCAACTGGGCAGTGCTGGTGTAGTATACATGTGATGCACTGCATAATCATTGTGCTTCCCAGTTGGCAAAGTCTCAGTAAAACTGGTAGGTTACAATTCTCTTGTGATGAACTCTTGTTCATAAATACAGCTCTAAAATTGTTCTTGTTGAAATTGCTGGCAGCAAGCCTGATCTTAAACATGTACAATATGATAACACCTGCTAAAAGTCTGTGGGGAACTCTATATCAAGCCTATGGTTATAGTTTTCACACTTGTTGAGTGTTCTTGGTGTGTTATTGCTGAATTCTTGTGTAACCTTATATTCAAGTGGTGTCTGGAGCTTGGAAAGCAAGATCTTTATTTCAAGCTATATATAGATGACAGAAGTCTGCATTTTTTGGGACCTARTGATAGGTACTCTTCATATTTCAGGTTTGTTTGGTTTTTTAGTCAAGCTAAATTCACTACATGTTTATTCAATTTAACTTTGATTTCTTAGTGCCTTACTATTGGCATAGTATTGGCATATTACTAATGCAAACAATTAAATTATTTGATTGAAGCTATTTTAGGGTTTYGGTTTTTTTGTCTCATACCAAATTTTGTGTGGAAYGTAAGTTCAGAAATACTTGATTAAATGTGAAGGCCCTAGAATCTATGAACTCAAAATTTGGATTGTTTACKGTAGTGAACACCTTCAGAAAGTGWTTAKTGGTCATAGCATCTGTGCAGTTCTGTGTTTTAGCTTTTGTGCTATGGTATGTTTTGAAAATGACTGAAACTGGCATGCAAACCAAGGGAAGGGTGAGGGGAAATGTTCTGATTTTTAGTTTCTATTTTATTTTTAGTTTGCCTAAAGCTCTTCTTGAAAGTAGAACATTGTTTCCCGCTACAGAAGGCAAACTGAACTGCTTTGAAGTACTCTGCTGCATGGAATGTTCTTTCCAGTACTTTCTTGGAAAGCTGCTGTAAAGTGTGTGGTAAACAAGCCGTGTTTAAGACTAACTAATTCTGGATGAGTGCTAGGAGTTTTGTTGTGTTTTGTTGAGCAATAMTGCTCAGGACCTTGCTATGGCTGGAATGTTCTTCCTTAATAATCTTCTTTTGTAATAGATGGTACCTTTGGGCAATGTAGTATTTTCTTGTGGTGAAAAGGGGATCTGGTCTAATCCAGAACTAGATATCTCAGTGTTTTGAAATGCTGGTTTTCTAGGAAACAATGCACTCATTTGTACATGTAATGTGATTCAACCATTTGTGATGTGTATGACATGTTGCTTTTGTCAAAAACTTAGTTACAGCTTTTTTCCTTTTTCTCTCCACCTTCCATTTTGCCTGAAAGGCACTGACTCCTGGGGATTTTTGGTTATGTACTCTTTCTGAGGTCYTTGTTAGTTTAATTGTAAAAGATTGCTTTTGTACTTGGTGTGTGTAATTGAATTTCTCTGGTAGCATGCTGTGATTCCTTCTATGTGAGAAATAGTTTTGATGTGAAGAAAACAGCTATAGGTCACAGGATAGCTGAGTYTTGAAGTATATTTGTAGCAGCTGTTGTGGTGAAGGGAGAAGATGCCATTGTATAAAACATTTCTGTTTTGAAGACACTAAGATGTGAATTTTTGGGAATTTTAAAATATTTTTTTCTTTACAGCATGTTTGTAAAGAACGTAATATTTTTCTTCCCCTCTGTATTGGGTTTTTTGGGAGGGAGGACCTGCTTATTGTGTTTTAACTGTCCTTGTCAATATTTTGTAGTATTATATGTTAATTATAGCAGCACGGAGAGCTTACTAACTGTTTCATTGAATAATTGCAACATGCTTTTTTCCCCCTCCATTCCAACAACTGGAAGGTTAGGAAGAAGAATCAGAGTAGTTGAATGAATTCCTACTGCAGTGCAGCGTTTCCACTGGATTGTGTTTAAATCTCTCTTCTACTGGATTGTATTTAAATTGTTGCAGCTTCCAACTGTTCACAGAATCCCAGAATGGTTGGGTTTGGAAGGGACCTCTGGAGCTCATGTAGTCCAACCAAACCTAGGGCATGTTACATGTGTTTGTGTCAGGGGACTTTCTGCAGAAAAGGACACTCCACAACCTCCCTGGGCAGCAGTTCCAGGTAGTGATTGCATTGTTCCTAACACATCCCAGGAGGCCACAGGTGCACACCCTACTGACTTGCAGGGAACTTGCCCCTGGAGCCCCCAGCTCCCTCTCCACAGAGCTATTTTCCAACAGACCAGCCCCCAGCCAGTACTGGTGTGTGGAATTATTCCTGACCAGGTGCAGGACCCTGCACCTGCTTGTGATGAATTTTATTAGTTTCCTCTCTGTCCTGGTCTCACTGARTGGTAGCACAACCTCTTGGTGTATCAGCCACTCTTCCCAGTTTTGTATCATCCACAAACTTGCTGCGCATGCGCTCTGTCCCTTCACACAGGTCATTGAACAAGTTGAACAGGACCAGACCCAGGACTGACCCCTTAGGCAACACTGCTGGCTACAGGCCTCCAAACAGACTCTGCTGCAGATCACAAGGCTTGCTTCCCATCTTCTGACAAGTTTAGTTTTAAATCCTCCTCACCATCCAGACAAGCCAATGAATGAAGTTCTCTTTCCTTTCTTTGACAAGTTSACCCCGTTAATCCTTCACAGACCTGGTTGCTCCAAGTGAGTCCCATGGTATGAGTATCCAAACCCCTGCTGGTGGCATGGGGAGTAGATGGGGCTGCCTTAGYTCCAGCATCTTTCCTGGTGTGATGGGTCTTTTCACTCTGCAAGGCAGCAAACTAGTTGGGAAGGGCGCCTCAGCCTTTGGGAGAAGTCTGTTCCTTCTGTCAGTTCTTGCCATTGTAATCCTCCATTCTTCTGCATTATTGTTCTATCCCTTCTGGATTTGCTGGTGGGGGAGTTTTTGACTCTGTGGCTGTGATCTGTGAGTCTGCTGGAGCCTGTGCTTGGAACCAGCCATCCAGCTCCTTCCTGCCACCTCCTGCAGTTCAGCCGCCTGCTGCAGAAGGTCCAACATATGGGCACACCTTTTGCAGGCAGGTCTGCTACCTGTCCTTGGCCCAGCAGAAAGGTCTAGGCACTGGCACTTGAGTCCTGGTCATTTCAAATTGCTTAACCTGTAAGTATTAAGACCCGCAAAATTCAGATTTCTTCAGCTCAGCAGCCTTCAGGAGTTTACATATCTGCCAATATTGGGGAGAGCAGATAAGCAGAAGCTGAAAAATTTGAAAAGACTTTGAGCACCTAAAATGTAGTTGACAGCATCTCATGCTTCTCAGTTAAATCATCAAGGATCCGTTCTGTATTTCCCCTTCTTCCTCTTGCTCTTGCCTTTGTTCTAGTGAATGGATTTAGGAATTAAATATGTTGTGTTTTTAAACCGTTTTAGTTAAGGTTTAGATATGCCAATTTTACGAATGTACCCATACAAGTGTTGTATTTTAAAATCCTCAGATGTGAGCCATATCCTGCTGGTGGTCCTCTGCTGCACCTTSATTGGAAAGAGAAGAGGTGATGTTGGCATATTTTTGTCTCAACAATGGAAATTTCAATGTTACCCCTTTAGTACTGACTAACTGRTGATACTCCATTCTTCTGTAGTATTAGTTTAGARTACTTGCAGTGAACAATWACTTGTTAGGTTSTCCACTATTACCTTTTTGYCATTCATCTGATGCAAGTGTTCAAYCTCATTTTCCCTTTTYTTCAGGKCAGGCTYCATTGTTCTTCTTCATACTTACCTTTTTAAGGGTTTTTGCACTGTTTTAGCTCAGGAAGTTGAAAATACTTGCACTTGCTGTCTCTTAATAATGCTACCCTTAAGTCCATCTGTCCCAGCTTTAAAGAACCACTAACAGATACTGCTGTATCTGGCAACGATATTTAGTTTCACTCTGCCTTTTCTTCCTATCCCAAGAGGATCCCTGCTGCTTTAGGGGTATCTTAGATGTATTGCATTTTTGAAACTTAAGATTTTGTGTGTTGTGGGTTTGTTTTGTACTTTAAGAGGTGTTCATAAAAAGCTGTTACTGATCTGATTTCCCTCTGTTCCTGGTGAAAGTGGCACCTGAAAATTTGGTTAAAAAGTAGAACATTGCCAGTGATTAATGCAGGTCTGGCCAGTGTACCTAAATTTGTCAGCTTGTAGCAGAGTGTTCCCATGGCTGAGCACTACCAGGCCTGTGTTGTGCACTGGGAAGAGAATCACTAAATCAGCCACAAATAGTGATGAGCCCCTTGGTCCTCTGCTTTGTTGTGATGGTCYTGCTAACGTCCATCACCTTCCCAGGGGTTCATGCAAAGGTGATCTCAGCAGCTTTGTTTCTGTGTAATGTGAATTTATGARCATGTGTTTTGCTTGCAGCCTTGCTAATGATTTTGTAACATCACTGCACTCAAAGTGCTCATGGCTGCAGATTTGAAGGTTAGCTATCCTTATGTTAGTGAAATGAAGAAGTGTCTGCATGTAGTAAAATGCAGTTACTGTCAAGTACAAGCATAGTTGTGTCTTGCATTTTGTGTACTTTTTTGCAGATCACTGTGCTGTATTATACTGATTTTTTTYGATTTTCCTTTTCAGTGTGGCTGCTTTGGTGTTTTGTCAACAAAGGTGTTGATATGCTTTTAGTGGTTTCTTAAAGATTCTGCAGTGACATGCTAGAGAYAGAGAAAAAAGATCAAAGTTCACAGGTACCTGTCAGACACCATTCTATATTTTTGCCAACAATCCTGGTCTTCTTTATTGTCTTCCTTACAAATCCCCTTTATCCTTTACAACGTCATGTGTATATATATATATATGTATACATATATAAATATATTTCTTCATGAATATCAAGAATAGGCATCGGTTCTCTGAGTAGGATGATCACAGGTGGTTTGCTCAAGCTGAGAATTTGTTCTCTTCCTCCTCACTGTACCTAGCACATTTTAAAGTTGATGGTCCAAGACTTTGCTGACAATATGCTCTAATCCTTAATTTTTTTATGCATTTGGCTGATTGGGTGCCCTGAGCTTTGTTTACAAATCTTCAATATGTGAATTGCTTTGTGAACTTTTATTTAATTGTATGGCCCTTATTTTGTAGGCTAAAATTACCTGTTTAGTAATCTGAACCTAGGATTTTTATCAAATGTTCCAGTCTGCAGCTTGAACATTTCCTTGGTCTARATTGGTTTTTTCCTTTAGGATTTGAGTAAGCACTTGGTGATGCATCTTTTTGAGGGGTTGTAGGTAAAGCCTGTGCATTATCAAGCACTCAAAGTGTAACTGCTGAAGTGAAAGAAATTTTCAAGGGTTTTCAATAGGTAAAATAGTTCTCCACCTTTTCTTGACGATCTCAAGGCTATTACAATCTTAAAAGAGGTTGGCATGCTTTAACTGTTGGTAATCGCTTTAGTGGAGGAGCTGGGAAAATGGAAACAGTATAAAAGCATTAGTAAAAAAAATAAACAGCTGAACTGTTGAGAAATCCTGGCTAAATACCAAGAAGTAAAAACTTGCAGGGATGTTAAAGCTGCCTTTGACAGCAGCCTCTGGTATAGGCAGGATGAGATTTTCATTGTTCCTTTCATGAATCTGTTTGAGTCATCTCCAATATGCAATGAAGAAGTAGAACAAGTGGGTTGTGTTATGGTTCTTTTTTCCTCTTGTTGATGACACTAGCCTGAATATATTAATGGAGGCTAGGTTTAAAATGATGAGCTCTGATAACTGCAAAATCTTCCAATGTGATTGCCATAAGCTGTTAATTCAGTAACTATGAGTAATGTTTCTTTCCTTTTCACTTCTCAGTTTCTGATTCCAGAACAGATGTGATGTATTTCTTTTCCTTCTGCATTCTGACTTGCAAGTGGTTGGTTTGGACTCGAAATGATGTTTAAAAGCATGAATTTATGTATTTTAATATAAATACACTTCCAATTAGATACAGGTATTTAATAACCACTTACTGCTTTGCAACATAACCAAATGGCAAGAMTAAAGAATGCAAATAACTGTTGAACTGTAAAACTACGTAGATATATTTAAGTACTTTATCACCATACTGTTAAAAAAGACCAAGAATGGCCATTCTTCTTGGGGAAAAAYATGCACAAATGCAAATGAAAAGCAAGTTTATTTTAAATTATTTTTAATTACAGGGTGAGGTGATTTTCCAACTGTCTGAATTAGGATTGTGYTCTCCTTTTCAAACTTGGAGGCAGTCATTACATCGATTGTGCTGTCAGCAGTAGTACTACTGTCAGCAGTAGGAGTTTAATTTCTGAATCCAAGTCCTGTGTGCATAGCAGTATAGAACAGTATGATGGTTTAAGGTTTAGCTTTTTTTTTTGTATCTGAAATAGTTGTAATATCTGAACCACAAGCCTTTGCAAGTTGCTGAGGTGACAGTCGAATTATGAAGCTCAGTAGACGATTTAGTGGCATTAACATATGCTGTCTTTAAAAACATAGTCTACTTTTATTTTTGAATAGTCTCATAACCAGCTAACCTATCTGACTTTAAGGCAGCAATGTGATACTATTACTAACATGTCCTTAGGAGCTGGCTGTTTTGTCTGGGGTTGGTTACCAGGGCTGGCATCACTGCGCAGGCATTACTTTGGGAGAAATACTTTCCAAAGGAGGTATTTCTGGAAGTGACATCAGATAACTTTGTATCTTTAAATGCCTGCCAATAAGTGAGCTGTGAGTTTGACTGTCAGTTGAGTTCTTTCACAGCTCAGGCTTCTTGAGTGTCACTGCAGTTTGATCTGGCTGGCAGTCTKAGGGGAGGGGATCAGAGTGGCACCTTTGGCAATCAGGGAGGCCATGGACTTCTGCAGCATAGGCTTTGGAGTTCAGCATGGAAACTGTGTAATTCTAGCCGGGCTTTTTTTCCCCAGTCCTTCCACCTTGTGGGCCAAATGCAGCTGCTCTGTAGTTAGCTGCTGTACGGAATGGGCCCACAATGACTCCAGAGGAGGCAATGTCATCTCAGTGTTTGCTCAGTGTTTTTACTGGCACAGTTTCTCATTAATTAGTATTAAAACTCAGCTCTGCTTTTTCTAGCAAGTAGGGAGCAGAATTTGCAAGGATTTTTGTCCCTTTGAGCTTATAATTAGTACTCAGGAGCATGTACACAGACCCACGTGGGTGTGCTCACCCATCCAGTGCCCAAGTGTGCTCATGGGGTCAGCAAGTGTGGAAAATGCCTTATTAAGCCTGATCTGTTTTCAAACTCTGACAGTGGTACAGCTTTAGGAGAATGGTACATGTGACCATTTCCAGCAATGTCTGTAAGCTTTCTCAAATGGAAGCGACTGGCTTCGAATCTCACTGTAGGGGTTTGTTTAATATACAATTTGGATACTGTTGAAAAAAWTCTATTTTCTTTCATTTGTTTTGTGTTTAGAACACCTTTCAAATTAATAATGAATTTGGATGTTATATTTTGTGGTGAGTATGGAAAGAAATTACTGAGCTTTTCTTTTCATAGCCAGCACCAAGAGATTATCTGTTCATCTTATGAGTGTCAGAACGTTGGCTTGATCCTGGGGTAGGTGACTGTTAATTGAACTTGTGGGGTTGTTCAAGTCCATCAGTAAATAGCTCTTTGATTTTCTGAGATTTCCAAATGAAACTTTGTCGAGAATGTTACATCTGGTATGGATAATAAGTCTCTTGAGCAAGATAACATGCTCATCATTGTGGACATGTATGAGAAGACATTATCGTCTGTTGGATTTTTTTATAAGATATTTAACTCTTGCTTTATACTTCAGTGAGTTTAAATGTCTGTGCCCRTATCTTCAGTGGGGAAGCACTTCTTCTTTGTGTAATATGTTGTGAAGGGTGGACTGGTAGCACCTTGATTTGACTTCAGTTAATGATGTAGAGGTTTGATGTAAGTTATTGTTGAGAGTAAATTCAGCTTCATGTGTTACATTTTGATAACAATTTTTTCCATTATATCCCTCCTGTGCATGCACAATACTTTCAGTCTGAAAAAATTCTACTGTTTTCTTCTTTGGTAATATTATTCATAAAACTTTGAAAATGTRTGTTTTCTGGAAGCCAATAACTTTTTAAAATATTGCAGTACCTGCTCCAGCCATCACTGCCACAGCTACTAAAATGGAGGTGGTTTCAGCAGAAGTCAACAGCTTGCTCCCTGAGGAAATCATGGACACCGGCATAACTCTGGTGGAAGATGACAGCATCGAGGCCGTGATCGTGTCTTCRCCGATGGGAGATTCTATTCCTATGGAAACAGAACTGGAAGAAATAGTGAACATAAGCTCCACCAGCGACTCCTCAGCCACAACTACGGCCACAGTCACCACAGAATCGGTCCCWGTGCCCAGCGGCCCCTCAGGAGATGCAGCACTGAACACCACAGCCCCAACTCCAGATGTGAATGCAGCTGTAAAGCCTGCCTTTCCAGGTGGCCTCCATAAACTTGGTGCTCAGACCCCTGTCACTATCTCAGCCAATCAGATTATTCTGAACAAGGCCACCGATATTAAAATAGGCAGTCAGAGTATTAAACCGGACGGGCAAAAGCTGATTGTAACAACTCTGGGCAAGTCTGGCCAGCCTATCGTTTTAGCATTACCCCACAGCCAGCTCCCGCAGWCGCAGAAGGCCGTGTCCCAAGCCCAGGGTGGAGACTGCAAGGTACAAGGCCAGCAGATCAAAGTTGTCATTGGAGGTCGGTCGGAAGTGAAACCTGTTGTGGGTGTCTCAGCTTTGACACAGGGAAGTCAGCTGATAAATACTGCAGCCCAACCCTCTGTCTTGCAGTCCCAGCAAGTAAAAACAGTACAGGTAAAGTGAGTTATGATGATGAAACATCTTAAAACCAGTTCTGTTGCTGCAATTGTTGTCTGTTTCCTGCACTGATTGACACACTGTTGCTTTCAGCCTTTGCATTTATTCTTTGTATTAAAAAATACAGTGCTGCTCTTAGCCCATGCTTTCATCTGTGGATGCATTTGCCATTTTATGCTGTTTGCCTCTAGCTACTGTCTAGAAAGTTAGGGTTTGTCTCAGAGAAAGTGAACTATTTAGTTAATTGAAGATAATTTTYTCATTATTTTCATTTTATAAAAGTAAATTCTACATACTTTCAGGAAGAYTAAATTCAAGTCTATATGCCTGTTCTTTCAAAGTATACATTCCTTTATGGAAGAGTAGCTTCTGCCTATTACATTCAGTTTGTTGAAATAAATTCTCTGAAAAAGCTTCTGTCATTTGAAAAAGAACAGAAAGGTGTATCTTGTCTGTCTCAAATCTAGTTAAGCTTGTTTAAGTAGACTGATGGACTAGACACTGTAATAAGCTAAACACTTCAAGGTTTTGTTCCCAATCTCTGGCATGGATCTTGAGATATTTGAAACCACAGCAAATCTGCTTGGTTCTGAAAATGYGTTGGAAAGACTTGGGTTATGTCCCAAAGGGTCTGCTTTTCTTCTGGTATGTGGCAGAACTAAATGTGTGTGGCTTTGTTCTAGTTGGCAGTGAGGCACAAATAAGATCTTTTGAAGTGAAGGACAAGTAGAACTCAATGCAGGTTATGATGGAAAAATATGTATTTTACTGTCTAAAAGAAATGAGAAATTAAACTCTTAAATATGCTATTAAAAATAATCAGCTGCACATAAAAAATGACAAAGTTTAAAGCTTTTTATTAGCCAAATGTTCCTTGACTAATATTTCATGGCAGGTGAATGAGAGCAATTCTGAATTTTTTTTTAAGCTGCAGATGATTCCTGCACCAATTTCTATTGTCTTCTTTTTTGTTGTTGCATCATATCTGTGGAAACATGTTTAATAACGGCCATTTGAAACAAAAATGGTTGTCACTAGGTTTCAATAAGGTCTCTCTCTTTCCTCAGCACTGAAACATATAATAGTGGATTAGTTCTTGTTACTTGGCTTCATTATTCACTGCCAAGTGACAGATACAGGAAACTGAGGAGAATAACTTAACTGTAATGTGTTTTTTTCTTGCATGAGATGACTTGTGCTATCAGAGATTGAAATACAGTGACTTGGCCATTGACCCTGCCATTTGCCATTGAGAATTCTACAGCCATTGGGAATTCTACAGGCAATCCTTAGCAGAAGCTCTTACTAATGGACTTGTATCAATTTTTAAATCTAGTTCATTGCAGTTTGGAAAAATTAATTTTATTGTGGTTTCTTTTTGTTAAACCATTGTTTCCTTTTGCAAAATAAATTGAATTGTTAGCACTTGACATTCCTTTTTTCCCATAAGGAGAGGAAGAAGTAGAAATGAAAAGGAAGAAGACAAGGTTAGTACCTAATATTGCAACGAAAATTATTACATTAGCACTTCAAAGACAGTGCTTTTCCCTGTACTAAAGTGTCAGAGTGATATATGAGGCTGGGTGAGAGATTCTTGCTCTACTCTRTCCTGAATGAAAGGGGAGGTAACCCACACCTTGAGTCCTTGTCATAGAAAATGAAGTGATTCATTTACCCCCATCATCCTGAACAAGCCCCTTAAGCTTTCAGTGAGTGCAGAAGGGGGGTGTGAATGCTTCCCTGCCTCCCCATGGGTCTTGTGTAATTTATCTCTTGTGGCTTTGTGAATCAGGTATTTCAGATAGAGAGCAAGGTAGTTTGACTTGGTGCTGAGAAGTGAACTGGTAAAGATTACATGACAAAGAGCTCTTATCAGTTSTTGTGGTCACTACTGGAGGGGCTTTGCATATCATTAGAGAAACTCATTGCCTTGACATCTAATCTAATCTTGTAATCTAATTGTGACCATTGAAGTCTCAGAACCGTAGGCATAATTGATAGAGTTCAGTAAAATGTATCGTGGAATTTGGCTCCTTCTCCAATTACAGTTCCAGACATATGAGACCATGACCTGCAAAGTGTGGCAGGGCCTTTGGCCTCATCTATATCCAGAAGTTAATTACTGTCCTTAGCAGCTTGTCCTGATTTGGTTGAAACTACTGCCATGGACGTGWGGAAAAAACTGCTGGGCAAGTGCATCTGCTTTCAGCCTATGGCTGCTGCCTGTGTACAGGCTTAAAAGTGGTGGTGTGGTGTGCCTGCTGCTCTACTACTCTAGTCCAGGTGCACTAAGYAGGAGTTTGGCCTTGCATGTGACTCTGAACCAGGTGTCCAGACACATCACGGTGACTGTCATTAAGTCTGACTTGTGCTTGTTTTGATAGGGTCACTGGCTCTGGTTTTAACGGTGTCCATAGCATCGTTGCTACCATGGCAAGGCAGCTGCTAAGTCATCGTTGTGGCTTCATCTCACCATTGAAAAGGGACCTTGTGCACTCCCTAAACCCAAAATCCCATTCCTTGCTCAGTTTCTTCATTTCTGAAGTAAGCTGTTCTCCTTTATTTCTGGAGTCCCTGATTTTTCATACTATGCCAAATATAAATTACATAGAGAGTGGCTACATGGACAAACTCCCATGAGATCATCTAGGAAGTGGATTTATAGTGTGTTAGCTCCTTTGTGGTAGYTGACAATGTGGATATGCAGCAGTAAATATGAGATATGAGTGTGTGTATTTCTGTATTAATAAAACAGAGTCTGACAACTGCGAACAAAGTCCAGCCATATGAACTTGCCAGTTCATCTTTAGGGAAGGGTAATTAGGAAGACATAAATTGATCCTTGAAGTCAAGTTGCCAGCAGGTAAATCTCTTGACTTCTGTAGGGGAAAGAAGGTCGGCATGTGCTCCTAAATATAATAATATTCATACAGAAGAGCTTGTTGCTGCGGGGAATRTTTTTGCAGTCTAACTCAAAATAACTTTCAGAGGGATGCTTAGCTTCCATAGGCAGGGGGATAATGTTAATCTTCTTGTGATTAGTGCAGGCAGAGTGCTCCACAGAAATCGCCCCTTCTGAAATACCAAAGGGGCATCTTGATTATTTCCTCTGGCTTCTCCAGTCTCTACAGAAATGGGTAGTGAGTTTCCCAATGATACCTAGAAGGCTTTCCCAGGTGACTGGGGTTATCCAGTGGCATAAACCTCGGAAAGACTCTCTTGGCAGCAGGGGGGGCAGGAGTGTGCTGTTCCTCATTTATAACCAACCATGTTTGTCTTGCTGTTTCCTAAGCCCTGAGGGGATTCACTTGTTTATTAGATCTCCTTTGTAGACTAAAAGTTCACCTAAAAAGCAGGGGGAAGATTATTTGAGAAGGGTATTGCAAGTTGAGTATGAGGGAAGCAGTGCTACTTGTGTTGACCTGTTGTTTTGGGACTTTCAAGTTCTTTTCTGAAATACTTCATGTTAATGGTCCCTAGTATTTTACACACRTTTGTGTAAGTGATTTAAGCGCATTTATTGATTGTTGCTGGGAAACAACTACTGTTGTCCAGAGCTGGCTGTTCCTGCTGAATGTTCATCATGTTCTGAACCAGACTTTGCTCTCACTTCAGAGTAAAAGCAATAGCAGTTGACTTGCTATTTTTGGCAAGTCAAAAATACTTTATGGCAGGGTAAGATTAATTTAAGCAGAACAGAAATCTCAAATCAAACAGATGAAATGTGTAGAACTTATCAGAAATTAAAATGTATCCAACCTAAAAAAAAATACTGTTAAAATGCCCGCTCATCTATCAGCTGTGTATATGCTGAGATAATTGAATCCTTGAAATGTTAAAATGACTTTGAGTTAAATTTGTGAACAGGGCTGTGAATGAAGCTTCCTTCTTTAAACAGATTATGTTTCAAAGTTTTAGTTAATATATGTCCAAAAAGAACAGGTTTATTTCTTCTCTGTTTCATTTTAAGCCTTGACAATTGTGTATCACCTATAAAGCAGTTCATGTGCCTGTGGAGCAGCACTTTTGTTCTGAGATGGAGCTTTCCTCTGAGGAGTACCTGTGTTGTAAGTGTGGAGCAGCACATGGCTTCCTTTACATGAAGTCTGTTCTCTGATAGTACCTGGTGTCAGAGCTGCTCCTTGACTTCCCTTGGCTGGGTGTAGCTCGGGCACACAGAGGTGCCCTTGGCACGGGAGGGCTCCAGTGCCATAGCAGAGGGGAGCTCCAGCTTCCCTGGCTGTGCTGTGACTGTGCTGCTGGGAGTTGGAGCAGCCTCACCCTGTGCTTTTTGTGGAGCAGTTGAGGAATTTGTTATGTGCTACTGAATACTTTGAATGTTTTGGCCTTATGTGATTGTAAAAAAGCTGTTTTCAGGCAACAAATTCTATAGATAGGGTTTTGTGTAGGAAACCATAACCTCCAGCCTACTCAATTGCTTCATTTGRGCACTTGTAACTTTCTCAGGCCTTCGAAAGTAGCTGTCATCTCTGTATCTTTGCACATCAGTGAGACTTGTCCAGTTATCTGCTTGAGTAATAAAGGGGGCTCTGTGCCTTTGAGAGCTGGTTCCCCACATGGATGTTAATGTTGTGCCTCTCTGATATTGCTGGAGTTGATGGCTGACACCCACAGCATGTGCCTGGGGTGTGTGGTGGGCAGGTGTAAGGCCTTCAGTAATGCCTTCCAGTGTTCTCACATAGACTCAGGGAAGATCCTAGCAATAGTCCAGATCCAYAGGCAGCCTCTGCAGTCAGCAGGTTAAAAGCCTTTGGAGAAAGTCAACYTCTAAATTGAACTATTCGCAAGCTGGATGTTGGTGTATAGAAACTGTTGGAATAAATGCCTCTGATACTGTACCTCTTCTTTCACTGTGGGAAAGGGGGAAAAGTCTTCCTTAAAAGTTTTAGGGCTATGAACTCTTGCTTACAAAGTTTTCAAGCTGAAGTGATGTGTCATTGAATTGCTGTATGTGGTCCCAATGGTGTTTTAGGAGACTGGATCACAACATGAAAATAGACCCCCTTGTACCTGGAGGTAGCTAACTGATTTGTTCATGGCTAGTGAGTACTCAAAACTTTCAGACACTGATGATCCATGTACTTTTGGGGAAATATTGCAGAGGGCAGTTTCCCCACTTGCAAAGTAAGTGTGCTGYTATGTCAAAATGGTCAAGAGATGTTTCAGAGCAGTAATGGTCATATTTAAGTCACTGGGGGACAAGATTTGTCCTGGTTGGCTGAAAAASAAGTAACTTCATATAAAGCTTCCCATACTGAGAGTTGTGCATTTAATTTTAACATTTTTATATAGAACAACCACACATAAGAAATAATTTTAGCAACTTGAAGGTGTGGTATGTTTGCACAGCGAGCTATCTTATGAAAAAGCTGAGAGGGATTTGGCTATCCTATTTTGGATAGTCCTCTAAAGTGTCAASGACCATCTAGGTCTTTCCATAGGGAGAAATGGAGATGAAATRTGAGAAAAGCAGTTATACGTACGAGTATTGCCCTTTTTATATTTTTCATGTACTTAACAATACAATAATTTAGATCCAAAATGCTCAAGTTACTTTAGATCTTTTTTCCTCCATCTTTTAGATTGCGAAGAAGACTCGAACCCCAACTTCTGGCCCGGTGATCACCAAGCTGATATTTGCAAAACCAATCAATAGCAAAGCTGTTACAGGGCAGACCACTCAAGTGTCACCAGTCATTGCAGGTTGTACTACTTTGACTTGTTTTGCTTTACCATTTTTTAAAGGCTTTTCAAAGAAATGGTAATTGTAGGAATTCTGTCTCAACAATTTTACTGTAGTTTCTGTCAAAGTACCTCAAACAATTGAAAAAAAAACAAACAGCAGAAACCTTTGTGGGTAAAAGCAGATAAATGCAGTTGTTGGTACCTTAGTAATTAGCTTGTTTAGAATAATCTTTGTAATTGCAAGGTACTTTTACTTCATGGATTTTGGGGAGGAGAAAAAAATACCCAGAGCCACAGAAAAGATTACTTGGTAAACAGAAAGTGTTTGTAGAAACGTTGTGTAAATACACAGGGGGTAAAGGGAGACACATGCTTTTGTATTATTTTGATCTGCTTATATTTGGACTTAAATGTAATACATGCAAGTAACAGAAAAAAAAAGTTTGGATGAAGAAAGTGAATAAAACTGGTTTTGTTTTAGTTGCTCACCTTTAAAAACAACCATTGCAGAAGTGTAAGGCAAATAACAAATGGTCTTTCTCTTTGGAAAACAAATCCATATATCCTAAAAAAAAAAGCCCAATTGAACATAAAACAACAACAAAAACACCACCAAACTTAAAGAAAAAAAACACCGTGTAATACCTTGCTTATTAAGAAAGTGTATCTGTTGCTAAACATCTTAGACATGTAATCTATCTGAAAAAGACAAATGTAGGAAGCTGGAGTAATTTTCAGAGCTTTGAAGGACATCTTTAACTGCTACAGACTGACCAACCTCAGCAGGCCTAAAACSTTTTCCACATATTTAGATGAATTTGTTAAGTCTTTCCAGAACTGGGACTTGATCTGGTTTTAAAAAGGATGCAACTGTCTCCTGTATTCAAATGCTGATAGATGCCAGTGAATGGCACATAGCTGGAACATAATCTTTTTCTTGAGCTGTCAGGCTGCCTGCAGCCTGACCTGTGTTTTAGGTTAAAGAGGGATTCCCCATCCCACTATCCAGTTGGTCCCCTTTTTCAAGTTTCCTAACAAATATGCAGAGCTCTGAGAAGATTGCTGTGCTTATAAATACTTGAATTAAGCTGTTTGTGTGTTTAAAGAAACAAAATCCAAACCAACAAAAAAAAACCTGCAAAAACATTAGAAATAAATTGACGTTTTTAAATCAATTATGTTGAAAAATTACCTCTGCCTGAGCCTGTGAGAGAAGCATCACTGGGAGGTAAAGTTGCTTCATTAATTGAGAGGGAAATCTTTTTAAAAATCAGTTTTTCCCTTCACCATTCCAAACAGCCAGCACAGCTTGCCAGTTTTGAGAGGCTGGCATCAGTGGTTACTTTAGAGCACATAGACCTCAGAGGAAATCTCCTTTCCATGAGGATAGTGCTTTTTCTTGTTAGTTCCAGTTGACTTTAATTGTTATGCCACTAGTTGATTTTGGATGGAAAAGTTATGCTGGTATTTGTTTTTTTCTTATTTTTATAAATGTAGTACAAGAGAATGGGTGACAGAGAAGCTATGACAGAAATGAGTCTGAACCAAAGCGGAGCAGAGGAAAGCTCAGTGGTCAAGCACTCTTTGGAAAGAAACTTAGAAAGTATGAAAAAAAAAAATCTGTTTTCGATTCTGGGAATTTTGCAATATTCCTGAAACTGATGTCATGATTTGGAGCTGCTGGTTTTGATGTTTAATCTTCTTTGGCATTGTAAAAAAAGACAGTTTTTAGTCGCACTACCACCATGTTTTCACATGTGTGTCATATATTGTTAGACAGTGAAAGAAACAACCATCAACAGAGAGAAGAAAAAACCCAAAAGCTCTAGAGTTGATTGTAGACAGACCAAACACCTTTTTCTTGGTCACTGTAACACAGCTCGTTTTTTGGTGGCTGAGGTTTTAAAAGGAGGTAGTCCCCACAGATGCTCTTTTTCTCCATAAGTTGGCAGCAGCCCAGGGATTTCCTAGTGAAGTGCCAACTGGCTGTGTGTTTGTGTGTGGTGCAGGTGTAGTGGAGAGCTCTGCACCTCAGGATGCTGTCCTGCCTATCAAGAATTATCAGCTGAATGGCACAGAAAGCTCAATGTGCATTTTGGCTCTTTTTTTAAGTCCAAGTGAACTGTCTTTTTACTTGTAATAATGGCAATTATTTTCTTCTTGTTGCTAAATCTTAACTTAAAGAATGCCAATGTCCTTCCTGCCAGGTCACACATCTCAGAAGCAGGGATCAATCGCACAATATGCAGGGAAAACTTTGCTTTGAAAGTTAACGTGACCAGGGATAACTGGAGCTGATGGTATCTTCGTTGTTTATAGGTAGGGTTTTTTCACAGTCTGCTCCAGGGACACCACCAAAGACAATAACGATCTCTGAAAGCGGAGTCATTGGATCATCTTTGAGTACAACAACACAACAGACACCGAATAAAATAGCTATCTCACCACTCAAATCCCCCAATAAGGTAAGGACCTGTTCTGGCTGTAGCCTTCTATCCCTCCTGCACAGTGGTCTGAATGGARCTCTCTGTGTCTTTGCTACAAGCTGTTTATTATTTCCCCAGAGATAATAAACATATCTCCAGAGCCCATAAAAGTATCTCCAGAGTCTCCATTTTGCATCACAATGCTCTGTGGTAATGCCCTAAGTTAGATTTATTTCAACTGGCTCCCTGTGATTTTAAGTAGATAATGCATTACTGCATAGTTTCCCATTTCTTGCTATTCCGTAAGCATCCATTCTGAGAGCAGCTGTTCCCTTTTAGCCAAGTGCTCAAACTATTTTTAATGCCTTCATAAAATGTCAACAGGCTGTTTAAGAGGAGACCTCAATAATATTAATAGGTCAGCACTTTTTAACCATTGCCTGTTACTGCTCTGGCAAATTAGACTTCCCTGATCACTTCTGAATTAAATGAGATTTGCAATGGTCCTTGACAAATACAGAGCTGGAGACTGGCACAGGTCAAGATGACACTTGTATTTTAGATTTGTTAATTGGCTTGAGAAGAGGAATATTGCTGGGGAAAGGGAGGTAGGGGGACAAGATGCACAGTGCAGGCAGACTAAATATCACATATAAAAAGCGAAGTAAGAATAAAGAATGCTTTTAGTTTGACTGTGTTTTAGTGATGTAATGTTATACAGATGGAGAGGAAGAYTTGTGTTTGACAATTATTAGTAAGAGAGGCAACATAAGGAAGTTAATTTTGATTCTAAAGTTACCTTTTTTAACCAGGAGTCAGTGTGGAAAGACTCCTTAGGGTCAGATCTTGAATTTACTGTAGAAAAGTAACTCTAAGTATCTGATTTTTCTTAAAACATAAGGAAGTTTAGAGCAAAAGTAGAAAGCCAGCCTTGGAAGTGATGTGGTTGTRTAGAATAGATGCTCAAAGACTGCACTCAGCAGAAATGCGGTCAGGAGACTGGATCTCTGTGGGAATCTGTAAAGTAGATTTGAAAATACTGATGTTCTTTGACTGAATCCATAGTGCAAGGTGGGAATTCTTATTTTTTTCAACAGCTTTTCTTTAAAATTTCTATTTATGATTAAATAGTCATTGTGCCAATTATGCTTTTATTTAGAAGATACCTCTTGATGATGCTCAGGCTTCTATGGGATGATATCCTTAAAAATGAACAAACAAATGAACAAAACAAATGAAAAGACAACCCCTCACTCCCCCCCAGATGCTGTGCTAGGTTTCTGCAGGAGTCTTTGGGTGCTGGAAGCCAGTCATGTATTCAAGTTCCTAAGGRGTCTATTTGTCATTGTTGCAGCTGGACCCATGGACATTGTGGTTAAATGCAGCAACCTTGTTCACAGAAAGAGCTCTGTTTGGTGGAGAGCTGTACTGTCCTGAGGAGGGGAATGTATGTGTACAGGGTCCTGTATCCTACACAGAGGTTTAAATTGCTTTTTGTTTTGCCAAGCAGCTAACAGTGGTGTCAGTGGCCTCCCAGCCTCCCAACTCCCCCCAGAAGACGGTGGGCGTCCCACTGAATGTAGCATTAGGACAGCAGATCCTCACAGTGCAGCAGTCAGCACCCTCCTCCCCTGGGAAGGCTATAGTCAACCACACAACCACCCAGGTACAGACTGACTTTCCTTTGTCTTCTAGTGTCTGTGTCATTGCTTGCTGGAAACTGGAGCGTTGGACCACAGGCATTGATCAGTCCCAAGGTGTTCTTGGAATGGGGTTTGCCTAGGAATTGGAAAAGCATTGCCCTGAGGASCACATACATCTTCATCCAAGGGGTGCAAACCATTGCAAGCCCAGACAGGGGCATGCTGTTAGAAAACAGCTTTCCAACCTGGAAAGCCCCACTTGGTGCAAATTCTTGTTTCTGTGTACTGAATCTCACAAATCACCTGAAAAACTCTAACACAAGGAGGAGTTCGTTGGGTGGTTCTCTCTCTTCTGCCAATGTTTCTGTGTGACTGACTAGGACTRTCTTTCAGTGTTTCTGAGGTTTGCAACATGGAGTTCATGTTCCTGCCATAGAGGTCTGCATAAGCAAGACACTGTGGGCTGAAACTACAGACCTAGAAATTATTATTTTCCTATGTCTCATTTCTAGAAAAACAGGGGTTTCCATCATAGCTTTTATAAGTGGTTTTGAATTACTCACAAAACAAAATTGACCTTTCTTACAAATGACAGTTTTTACTGTGCTCCTCTTTTGTGATCTTAGGTGAATCTTTTTCTATCATAATATCTGTACTGCTGTTTTGGTAAACATGAAGGGTTGTGTATGGATGTGGATATAACTGAGAGTGGCCCCAGTTGCCTGTACAGCATGAGACCAGAGACTTGGACAGATTTTCCCAGGCTTGTCTTACTGATAACAGGTGATATGGGCTGTGGACATCATCGAGATTGGAATTTTTTTTCCCCAGGGAAAAATGTCTTTTGGAATAGTTGTTAAAAGATTAAGTCGCTCTAGTGCAAGCACCCTAGGTGAGAAAATTGAAATGTCTGTGGGGTGTACATTCTGAGTTCTGATCCAAAGCTGTCTGACACAACACAATGGCTTCACCTGTCTTCACTGGGCTCAAGAACATGCCTTAGAAGAACTGTCCCTTGAATTTTACAATTTTCCTAATTGTCCTTGGATGGCAGCCTCTAATTCRTGTGCTAGAAAAAACCTGACCCTTTGATAATATCAGTGACTGTGCTTACATATAGTAYTTATTTTGCTGCTCTGACTTGTTAAGGTTTCAGTGTATTAGGAAAAAATAAAAAATCCCAAGAAAGCACCTTTTAGAGGTCATGGGTTGTATTTCTGCAGMTATGTGTGCAAATTGAAATTTTATTCGTGTAGTTGCTGAAAGCTGGGGAGCTGGRAAAATGTTCTCATAAGAATTCACATCATACTGTCAACCAAATGAAATATTTAAACTTGATTTCAAGGACAATATGTTTAATATCAATAGTGTAAGATCCTGAGAACAAAAAGCTAAGCTCTAAAAGAAGTTAAATGGAAGGAGAAAAAGGAAGAAATCAAGGTTTAAGGTTGAGCAAGCCTGGTAAAAGAGACCGTTGTCAAACCAGTAGACTTATGAATATGTATAAATAAAATAAAACTTTTTTGTTATTAGTTTGTAATTTGAGAAGAATTGAAAATAAGAACTTTTGCAAATTCCAGGCATACTGATACTCCAGCTGTAAGGTAGCACAGGTCTGCTGAGCTCCCTTTCTTTCACCATTTTGCCTTTTTTCTTAATGAATTTGTTTTGCTACTCCTCATTGTTCTTGCTTCTTTCATTTCTTAGCTTGTACTCTTTCTGATGTCCATCAGTTTATGGATTCTGTTCTGTTTTCCTTTCAAAGGCTGCACAGTGATTTCTGTGGATTAATCACAAACTACCTTAACAGGACATACCTGTACACACACAGATAAAGCATGCTATGGTCCAGCACAAACTGTTCTGCAAGTTCTTACCATGTGCTTTTAATAGGAATATTTCTAGGTTTGATTGTTGCTTGATTGTGGCAAACAAACTGAGCCATGTTGTGTGCAGTGACCTGAAATAGTTTTGGCAGACAAATCTGGTGAAGTGGACTGAGTCACKCATGTAAATATTATGAGTTATAATATTACTCTGATGTTTGGTGTAGAGCATTGAAAATGCAACTGAATTTACTCTTGAGCTATTTAGAGTCATTTAATGTCTTTGCATCTGTTCTACTTTTGAAAGCAAGAAAGGATTAACTGGCTTCCCACTGAAGGGTACGAATGGTACCATAGAGTTGCTCACAAGCAAATTGAGAAATAAACATKCTGATGTTCTTTCTGCCTTTGTACCAGTAACTTCGTGCTGTCTGTGTTGGCTTAACAGGCTGTGAAATCAGCAGTGCAGACCATTACTGTAGGAGGAGTGGGTACATCTCAATTTAAGACAATTATTCCCTTGGCAACTGCACCCAATGTTCAGCAGATTCAGGTACCTGGAAGCAAGTTCCATTATGTCAGACTCGTTACTGCCACAACAGCCAGTAGTTCAACCCAATCTGCCAGTCAGAATCCCAGTACGAATACTCAGCCTCTGCAACAGGGTAAGTGCTGGTGTTAACATGTCATCTGAAGCTTCTGTTGGGTTTTTCTTTCGTGTTTGTTCTGTAAAGATTAAAATGAATATGTAACAGAGATCTGTGAAGACTGCCAACTGTGCTTGGTTTTGTGGTAAGACTTCTATAAATTCCATATTCTGCTGCTATGTCTTGTTTGTATGTGAAAATGCTCCTTTGTGTCAAATTGCTCAGTAGTTGAGCCTGAATCCTGGGAGCATTTTAGGTTGCTTTTCCCTCGTTTACCAGATTTGTGGGTGGTTCATGGCGACTCCCATCTCCTCTATATGAAAAGTGTGAAGGCAGGACAGCCCACAAGCATATTGCTAAAACTCCTTTGCATGAAGATACTTCCATATAAAYTGCTTAGAAGTGCCAGATGTTTTTTCTGGTTTCTGTTCTAGTTTGYRGAGTTGTGATKGGATAAAAGATTTCAAAGGGAGAAGGGATGTAAGGGAAATCCACTGTCTAGAGAAGGTCTGCACCCATGTTATTTTTTAATCCACTGCTGTGAAATGCATACATACACTCTTGTGCCAAATACCTGTTTACAGAGGTGTTCTTTAGACCCAAGTGGTGCATGCCATGAGTTRCAGTGGAAGTACCTCTGTGTTATGCTTATGTGAAAGTCTGAAGGGCTGAACCAGGAACTCTGAGTGACTAATACACATTAATATGATGTTGTTTCTTGACACCAGCAAAACCCGTGGTGGTGAACGCGACCCCAGTGCGTATGTCAGTTCCCATAGTACCAGCACAGACTGTGAAACAGGTGAGCTGAATGTGAATCATGAAATATTCCTGACCTGTTTTGGCTGGACAGAAAAATATCTGCTTCCAGCTCTGTGAAGAAATGTTCTAATGAAAGTGTGTTCTGAATGAGTCAAACACTGGTTTCATTAAGACCTCTTTTTTCTTCAGGTGGTGCCCAAACCAATCAACTCAACCTCTCAAATAGTCACTACTAGTCAGCCCCAACAAAGACTTATCATGCCAGCCACTCCACTGCCACAGATCCAGCCCAACCTCACCAACCTCCCCCCGGGCACTGTGCTGGCACCAGCCCCTGGCACAGGAAATGTYGGCTATGCAGTCCTTCCAGCTCAGTATGTCACACAGGTATGGCCTTTCCTGGAGATGGCTAAGGAAATTCTGCTCTTCTGGAACATTYTGCCTTCCATTTAAAGGTYCCTGCTCCATGATTGYCACYTGACACTGAAGTGACCATTTCTTTYAGGGAYTCTTGGCAGAATGATGATAGCACTAARTCATAGTTGCAATTAAAGCTTTATTTTCCCAACAGGATTTTTTATTAGCATAATAGCACAGGATTTCTCKAAGCAAAATCAGCATACTGCAATTTAGAGTAGCATAGTACAGAATTTATAATGCAAACTTATTTGAATCATCTAGATCTCAAYTATAATTTCTTATCGTCTAGACCCTCTGCATATTGGGTCAGATACTTGATACACAGTTGGCTTCACCACTRTAACAATCATAACCTAGACTTGAAAATCATATTAAAAAGTATCAGTTACTCAGTCCTTAGAGGAAGCAGATGTCAGTGTAGGTGACTGAGGCCACTGGCAGTCACAGGTCTCAGTGTCCMGCAGCAGTTCCAGTCCAGGTTCATCACTTAGGACTTGCAACAGCTTGATTTTATAACTGTGCTCTGTGTGCTGTTACACTTCCCTGTTCTGTGACAAGGATTCGTTTTTTCCTCTTTGCCAACGTGCAGCATGAAAAAGAATAAATGAAACATTCTGCAGAAAGCTGTTTTGTAGAAACAAAGACTCTGATAGTTAACAGCATTGCTGGTACCAGCCTGGTTTCTGGTTTCAAAACCTTTTTGGTTTTGTCACAGTTGCAGTTTCAGCCGGAAGATTGTTACTGTATCCTTTTAGCCTGGTTCTACAAATTTTACTTAAACTAGCATCTCTTGTATCTTCCCTCTGAGGTTTGTGTTCCAGTCACAACYTGTCCCCATTTGCCTGGCCCCAGTRTAGATCCATGTCTTGCTTGTGCCAATCTGCTGCCAGAACTTGTCCAGCAGGAGCAAACAGCTGCTTGTAGGTAGTGCTAAAGAAGGTAGCCCAGAACATTGTYGTTTGATAGGTTCTTAGGTTTTGCTTTTTAATGTGAAAAATAAGTGGTGGCTTCARGTATGCAGAGGAGTTGGAATGCACACAATTTTGCTTACTTTTATTTAGTTTCATAGTAAGTGGCTTGTATGTAAAGGAAGCTACTRATTTGTGCAGGAAGTGATTCTGCTCAATTAGGGGAAAATGAACATGTTTTTAAGTGGAGGAACTGTTTGTGGTCTGAACATATCTGTGTGTTATCTCTGTCATCTGTATGGACCTAGACACCGCAGTAGAGAACAAAAATATAATCTAAAATAGTATTTTTTTGCTAAATATGGAGGCAGGAGGTTGCCACCTGATCCAAGTTCTGTAAGTGTCTAAAACTGTTCTTACAAGCAAGTTTTTTATAACWATATCTGGAAAGCTAATTTAAAGACTAATTATACATCCTCTTCTGTATACTTTAATTTCTTTCATGTGAGGCATTAATCTTTTTTTTTTTTTTGTTAGCTACAGCAGTCATCCTATGTATCTATAGCGAGCAACACTGGCTTCACAGGGACATCCAGTGTCCAGTCCCAGGCACGGCTGCCATTTAATGGGTAAGTGCTTTGGGAAAAAAAACAAACCCAAAACCTGTAGAATAGGTTGCTTGAATGAACGTTGCATATTGGTTTGGTTTGGGGAATTTTTCAAAATGCTCAATTCTGCTGTGGTGTGGTTATTGCCTCTTACTAAAGGGCATGGATCTCCCTGGCAATTGAGCCGATCTCTTGATCCAGGCTTTGTTTTCCATTTTGAACTCAGGTAGCAGGAAGTTGACCTGAAAGCTCCTTGTTGCTCATGTTTTATTTTGCAACAGCACTTGTGAGCTACCAGCCTCAACTATTCCTCAACATTGCTGCAAAGAGGTACTGGACAACATATGAGCTAGATGCTTAACGCATGCAGAAATTCAGCCAACAGCAAAGTGGATCCTGATATGAGGCTTTGGGTTTTTTCAGTCTTGYATTTTTTTCCTTTAAGGATGAAAATAACAGCTAACATAGATTATTTTCCCTTTGCCAATCCAGCAGGCTTAGCTGTTTTGCACAGTCCTTTTGTRTTACTGTTTGCTGGAAATTGTTAACATGAAGGTACTTTTTGCTGCTGCAACCTCAACTGATGCGAACTAATCCCAAATCCAGATGCAGCTATTCAAATAAAYGGGTTTGATTTAATCTCCCTGGTATTACGTGCAGAAATTGCTGGATAGGAGCGGAACAAATCTCATCAGAAGTGATTAGTGTCAAAAATTCTGAGTTTTAAGAGCAGTTAAAGACTGTGTTTAATGTAAAATTTATCTCTAAACTGAATGCTATGGTTTGGCTTGCTTTCCCATTATTCCAGAGGGGATATTTTTTGGGTTTTGGGGTTTTTTTTAAATTCCAAGTAGAACAAAAGAAAAGGCATAATCATGTGTGAATCTTGGTTGGATCTGGTCCCACTACACTTAAAGGGCTTCTAGGGAAGATTTCCCTGACTYCCTGACTGGTTTTCAGTTATGCTTCCTCTAGCTTGAAAGCCTAATTTCTACTTCAGGCACGCACCCAGATTTACAGAAAATAATCCATCTCTTTCTGGGTTGGGAAGTCACTATTTATAATAGTTACTTAAACACAGTCAGCTAAATACCTAATGCAAGGTGAATATAAAGCTTTTTCAAAGTTTTTATTAGAAGTTGTTTGCATGAATTTAAATTAGAAGAAACTGATAAAACCTTGCCCTTTTTTCCCACAGCATAATTTCCTCTGAGTCTGCAAACCGCCCCAGGAAGCCTTGCAATTGTACTAAGTCTCTATGCTTGAAATTGTAAGTACAGYTAAGTATGATTTTTGTCTTTCAAGCCTCATTTTTAATATCACAAATGTATGTCAAGTATCAGAATATAATGGTTTTAAACATGTCAGAAATTTGATGTCTGGATGCTAATTTAAGGTTGATATTGGTGGAGATGGTGCAGAGCCTGTGTAATTTTGCAGCTCCTGTGAGCTATGTGGGCCATAACATTTAAAAATGTTTAACTTTGTACCATGCACCTTATTGCATGGTAGAGCCAATTACACTCAGCAGCTCTGTTGGTACCATGACTGAAATGGTATCTCATGGTATCATTAGTGGGCATTTGCTATACTTTTGAAATGCATCAGTAATACCATGCTGGATCAAATACTTCAGAAAAATTGGACTGTGTATCTTTTAATRAAGGACTGAATAGACAAGTGATTCTTCACTAGTAGGTCTGACTCTTGCTTATCTTTGAGATGTTTTGCTGTTCCATTCAATGTATTGGTAAGAATTTTAAGCTGAGGAGAGTTTCTTCACCTTGAAGCAAAGTCAGTTAGCTGATATTTTTGGAACAGGAATGGGAGGAGATACTGAAATTACTCTGTGGTTCCCTGAATCCTAGACAATGAAGAGGAAATAAGGGGTGTGGTACTCAAAGGGGAAGTGATGAAATGGCATCTGAACCCAAGTTAAGAAATGTGTTTAAGCTTTTAAGCTTGGGTGTCTTTTTGTTAGTACACCCCACCTCTCTACGGGGAGGCATGTCCTCTGCTTCCTYGTCTCGGAATTGTCTGTTGCACAGAAGTCCTGGCAAGCAGGAAGGTGTGTAGTTGTTCTTCAGATAATTTACATATATGACTGCCCTCATAGTGCTCAGTGTATGTTAAATGTGTGGGGTTTTAGCTTGTGGTGCCTGAAATGCTGGAAGAATGGTGACATCACTAGTGATAGTTTACACCTTCAGAATACTGTTTGGAAACAACTTTTCTTGTAAATCACTGTCATTATATCTTTAATTGGCTGGGCATTGGTACAGATCAAATGGTTAATTCACTCTGGCACAGGTGCTTTCTCACTAATAAAACCTTTTTTCTGTCTGGAGTGAAACTTGTTTTTTYCCAAATCCACACTGAAGGTAGGAACATAGCCCATTCTACAAAGAAGTGAACTCAGGTAAGTTACTTGCTCACTAATGTTCTGGATTGATGCTGGCACTGTTTGCTTTGGAAACCAGAACTACTCCACTGCTGAATTTTAAAAAAGAAAAGAGAGCTATAACAGGTTGTAAAAGCTTTTGATTTAGTTTGTCCCTGAGACCATTCAAAGTGCTAAAAGTCACCAAAATCCAATTCAATCTGAGGAAGGCTTGTGGTGGACTCCAGGGCAACCCTAATCTAATTCTTGTAGTGCTAGGCTAGGCAAGCCACAGAGAGCCAGTTTAGCAACGGTTTTAGACTCCCAACAAATGACTATATACTCCCAAGAGGATTTGAAAAGCAAAGGAAGAGGATCAGCAGTTTTTAGCTGTAGCTAGAGGTGATACTGSAAGCATTGAAACATGTCAGAGTGTGTTGTGGACTAAAGCCACGTTTAAGCTGGGCACCCTTGAGTTCCTCCTGTGTCTTCAGACACAGCCAGACCTGCACTAGAGGATTTTGGCTCTGCAGTGAGGCTGGTAGCACTTGTACATGTGGAGTTGAGCAGAGGGTGACTCTTAACCCTTATTGATGCCAGAGTAGGAACTTCTGCTACTGCCATCAGTACTAACCCACCAATGCAATGATCACATTTACAAATGCYTTCTTCATCTTCTGTTTCAGGTATTGTGACTGCTTTGCAAATGGGGAATTCTGCAATAACTGCAACTGTACAAATTGTTACAACAACCTGGACCATGAAAATGATAGGCAAAAAGCAATAAAGGTGAGGGGTCTCTTCTCTTGCCCCTGAGTTCAAAGCCATTTAGCTTATCTTTTATGAAGCTCCAGAGCTGGGAAGAGTGGGTGTATAATGCCCTGATCTCCTCCCACATGTGCAAGGCTTAAGTTCTTTTATTGCACCTCTAAATTCTGCTCCCTGCATGCAATGACTGACCCTTTGGGTCTGCATTGACAGGCCTGCCTCGACAGAAACCCTGAAGCCTTCAAGCCCAAAATAGGGAAAGGAAAGGAAGGAGAATCGGATCGGAGGCACAGCAAAGGGTGTAACTGTAAACGCTCGGGATGTCTCAAAAACTACTGCGAGTGTTATGAGGTACGAAGCATTGTCTCATTTGAAAGATAGTAGCTTTTTCCCTTTAGTGTAGTGACTTCTCTAATTTGCTTTGTGTCTTTCTGGTATTGTTATAATGTTTTCTTTTCTGTCTTTTTCATTGCTATAATGTTACCTCTTCTCCCAGCAGTTTGCACGTAGAAAGCCATGTACATGGTAAACTGATCACTACTGTTCTGTAATTTTAATTTTAAACTATTTAGCAACTTTGAACTTAGGCTTGGATTTGTTCTTTACTGAATAGCACCATTTCCTAAAGAAATCTACTGCACCAAGTCCCTAGGAGTTGAAGCAGCATCCCACGGATGCTCTGGGATAGAATGTGCCTGTGGAATTCAAAACCAAAAGTTGTTGTTACTTCATCTGCTAACTGATCAGTCTGTGGATGTAGAGACAGTGGTAGACTGACCTTTCTCAAAGCTCAGCTGTCTAAATTCCACTGGAAACCGGAGGTTGATGAAGAAAGGGATGAGTGGGAAACCACTGATTTACATTCTATGCTCTATGATTCTATAATTTGATTCAAGTATACATTCTGGGAAAACGTCTGAACTTGAGGTAAGAATTTAGAGAGAATACTACTTGGGAGTTTGTTCTAGTGGTTAGTTGGTAAGAGATCTCCTTTATGTTGTGGTTTCTCATAAGGGGAGTCAAATTTGCAACAGGTTTCTTATGCTTTGTTTGTTTCTGTCAGGCAAAAATCATGTGTTCTTCCATATGCAAATGCATCGGCTGTAAAAATTTTGAAGAAAGCCCGGAGCGAAAGACATTAATGCATTTAGCAGACGCTGCAGAAGTCAGGGTCCAGCAGCAGACTGCTGCAAAGACCAAGTTATCTTCCCAGATCTCAGACTTGCTGACAAGACCAGCACCAGCACTCAGCAGTGGTGGTGGCAAGTAAGTTAATGCTGCACCTTCTTTGAGTTTCTAATGCCGGGTTTTGATGTATGTGACAGGTGTGTCCCCATCATCTCTGAACCTTGTCTGTGTAAGCTRTAGAAGCAGGAGCAGTTAGATGATGGAACATTTTGTTCCCATGACGGTGGGATACTGACCCACCAGTTTTATCAGTTTTTTCTATTTTAAATTCATGCAAACAGCTTCTAATAAAAACTTTGACCCACCAGTTTATTTGGCTGTTAACAGAGGCTGATTCACTATCTAAAGGCTCTTGGAAGCAATGGGACAGATGAAGTCTCATCAGTCCTCAGACAAAAAGTTGCCAGTCCCAGAGTTAGGTGCCTTGTGTGTTTTTGCAGAGACTAAGTGGATGTTCCTGTGTTTCAGGCTGCCCTTTACGTTTGTCACCAAGGAGGTGGCTGATGCAACCTGTGMATGCCTCCTGGCACAGGCAGAGCAAGCGGAGAAGACGGGCAAGTCCAAAGCTGCAGCAGAGCGCATGATCTTGGAGGAGTTTGGACGCTGTCTGATGAGGGTTATCAGCTCTGCAGGGAAGTCCAAAGGTGACCCTTGTGCCATGAACTGCTGACTCATGCACACGAGCCACAATGAAGCGGACTGAACAGAACACTTAAGGCACAGGGACACTTTGGTTTAGCGTAAAGGATTTAATAATATTTGTTAATTTGGTGCTTGTAAATTCACCCATGTAAGATTGAAACAAGAAATTCTTTTATAACAAGATGTAGAGCCTTTTAAATCTTAGCTAAATCCTCTTCTACTTAAGACAATGCCTAAAGGTCAGTTCTTCTTCCCAATGTACAGCTTTTACCCTGGGTTTCTTAAAAATTAGATGTGTGCTCCCCTTTCCCCCAGAATAATTGTCTGATGGGCATATATAAGTTATTATAATATATATTATTTACAGTGTCTGGATTTTCATCACTGTGCATACAGGAAAACACAGGTGATGTCAACAGCCAGGTCATGCTTTTACTGACAGGCCTGTAATACGGAGGTACCAGTGTATCCAAGACAATTCTGAAAGGAAGTATGTAGAAATGAGCATCTAAATGGAAGGTAGAACTTGTATTTTGTAGATAGCACAGTACATGCTGACACAGTGTGTTCCTTTTAGTGCACAGAGCACTGTGAGATACATAGGCAATAATACAGAGGGGTTGCTTGCAGATTTACCACTAAGCAAGGCATGGAGAATGTTTTTAAAGAATGGTCCAAGGATTATAGATGCGAATGGCATTACTGGGAATTTTTTATAGGAATGGGGTGGAGTGCTCAAGTGTTTCATAAGCTGGAACTTGAAGGCTAAGACTGAGTGGCCTGTCCTCAGAAGKGAGGAAAAGCAGCCAGGCCACAAATGCCAGACTGTCTGCCCAGCGTACTGTTACCAAAGTGTGTAGCAGATGGATKCTGTTTTTTAGGTGAAGCTTGGTTTTTCAGAGGTCTGTAGCAGCCTAATCCCTCACTGCAAGTAGGACTGTTCAGTCCATTGTGTTTTTAGGATCAAGCTGTAAGCCTGCAAGTGTTTAGGCCTGARAAGCTGAAGTCATGGGAGATGACAATCTGCATCCGAATCAACTTGCAAATGCAGGTAGGGATCATGYTCAGCCTGGCTGTGGGTATTCAGGATGCTGCTTCTCTCCATGTTAGTAATTTACTGGTGGAAGGGCTCTTTTAGTGTTGTTTAGAATAATTGTGAGAGTTGTGATCAGAGGAAGTACTAGYAAAGAATCAGGATTGCTACAAAAACAGGCACAGATCCTTTTACACTAAACAGGGAGCAATCAGCTATAGCTGGGTATAGACTAAGACAGGGGATTTTTTCAGTATTTCTTACAGGCAATCTCAGATCACATTTTTGATAGTGGAACACATTTGCAGAATTAATTGGTAGGTTACTTACCTATCATGAACATCAGAATCATGTTTAATCACAGGCATTTTTAGTACCTGTCTCACTGCAGCCTGAATTAACTATTTTTTCCAAAAGGGATTTTATATTCCTTCTATAAATCTGTAAATACAGAGAAATGCAGCAGAAGCTCCAAGCTTTCTAGCAGGGCCAGGCTGGAGAGAGGTAGGGTCTAAGCACACCAGCAGCAGAGATATGTGCCTATGTATGTGAAGGCAATAGGGTAGGAGGATGCTTCACCTCAGCCCTGTGCACTGAGCAGAARGCCTCTGACCCTGCTTTGGTGCCTCCTTGAAATGCCTGGGAGGCATGAGGGCCTGAGACAGCCAGCAGCTCTGGGCCCACAGAAGACCAGCCAATCACTGTCTGAAGGGCTCTGTCTGCTGTGGACATCTCCCTGAGCATAAATAGCAATGTTTGTGTAARTCTCTGAGAAGGGAATCCACCTCTCGTGTAAGTAAATGCCACATTTTTTTCATAATTAGGCATTGGATTGACTAAAAAATCAGTGCAGTAACTTTACCTGTAGATAGCACGGATATTCYGTTCCCTTCTAGTGACCTAATATAGTCTGTCCAGTAAGACTTGTATAAATGTAAATTAGTGTAAGTGAATAAAGTAATACCTACTTACATTATTTTTCAAACAGATTGCAATATGCCTTTTGTTTAGACTTCAATCCGTGTTAATTTTGTATATATTCAGTGTCTTACTCTAAATTGCACCTTTTGTGATGTGTATTTATATACAGTGTGCAAAAGCACTTGTGAAATTTAGATTACAGTTGTAATTATGTATGATGGCATTGCTGGAGAATATTTTGCTTGTAAAGACTTTGAAGGTGCAATCAAATGCTCTTAGTTCTTCTATTTTGTTTTGAACAAGCTTTCTCAAATATTAAGCTTGGATTCCTCTCTCCCCTCTCCCTGGTGTAGAGTGTATTAATTGGTTTTTGTACTTCCTTAGCCATTTGCATCAAACTGCTGGACAAGATTAASAGTCACGTTCATCCAGTTACATAAAAAATAATTGGAAATGGGGCAAGGGTTCATTTTATAGTTCTGTTTACATCCAAAAGTAGAAAAATTAAATTTATATTTACAAGACCTATTCAAAGAATACACTTTTCTATATTGTACAAATAAAACAGTCAGATAAATCACAAAAAATAAACATTTATACTATTCTGTAAATATGATTTTTTTTTGCAATCTTTTGCTTCGGCACTGACAAATATACACAGGTTTGTCACTGAAATATCAAAATAAATTGTTAACATTAGGTCCACTTCTGATGCAAGTACTGACTTGGATTTTCAGCATGAGTCCAAATCCTACCAGACATAAAGATCCCTTGGTTTCTGGTGTGCTGTCATGCACAGCAATCTGTGGCACAGTTCRTAACTATTCATCTCGTGGCTGGAGGTGTAGGTAATGCAAGTGTTCCAACATTCTGTGATTGCAACCAATCTGTTACTGGGATTTCAGCAGCTTTTTGCCAGTTGCCYCAAATATCACATATAGAGGGGAAGGAATAGTTTCCTGCATAGGAATAGCTCCATGACAGTGATGGCTTCAAGATGGCTTTCTGCATAGATATTTGGAGTGGGAGAAAAAAAGGCTAGAGATTCTGGTTTGTTCCTCCCAGTAGTGATTGCATTAAGTTCTGTGGTGCTACTGCTCTCAAAGCAGAGCTTGAGGGATTAAGTGCAGCAGTTCTGCTCCCACCATGAGTGAGCAGAACGAAGGGAAGGAGGAGGAACCCAAACCAACCAGGGACAGTTTGTCAAGTCACTGGTATGCAGAATGGTACCTTTAATGTTATTACTATCCTAGGATGCCATTTTTCACCTTACTTTCATCATGGATTTTGAAAGTGACTGAACAGCAGATTTTGTGGGAATTAACTGCCTTTCATCTCTATGGATGCAACTACTGTTCTGCATGGCAAAGGGAAAGCATTTAGCAGCAGTTACGCCAAATTTTGCTRTTCCAGATAAAGCACTGGAGGCAGCTCCCTTGCCATGGAAATGAACTAACTGAAGAAGCCTGTCCTATGTGGTGGCATCAAAGCTATGGTTCAAGTGATTAGTGGAAACACTGAAAGGAGACTGTTTTGTGCCCTGGGCTGCAGGACACAGGCCAGCCCTGGGACGATGGGGCCATGGGACCAGAAATGCTTGCCCTGCTGCAGCACAGCCATGTACAGCCCATGGAGGAGGTACTGGTGCTCCTGGGTGCCAYTGGACACAACAGTCTGGTTACAGCCTCAGCACTGATCCAGAGCATCTAAGCTTGATTTATTTAGCTGTTTGACAAGACAAGTAGGGAGGGAGATTAGAGCTTGTGTACAGCTGGAGTGCCACTTYCTTTTCATGTCTTTATTTTCCTACTTAAATAAAAACTCTACAAGCTTTCTTGCCTCCAGCTTTTATAAAGCAGATCTGTTYTGGTGAAATAAAATTGCTAGTGCATGTGATTCCCCTACAACCACATAGAATAAGCATGTTTTCCCCTGCCAAGAACATATACAGCACTAAAGGCACCCAGCACTTCCAGTGGGCACTGCAGTCTCCTACTGCTGTCCCAGGTATCTCAAGCAACCATTGCTCAACCYGACCTGCCATGCAAGTTCCATGAAATACATGGCTGCATTGCAGGATTACTAGAAGGAACAGGGGATTGGATYAACTTCTTGCTTTGCTCAGCTAAACTTAGGTCAGGGGCTTTGCAATGGTCCAAAACATCACTGCTTTATCATCACTAGTTTTGCCAGCACTGTTTCCTCACATGTGTTGCCTAGACATGACCAGCAGTGAGCCTCAGCAGGGAATAGCCATCCTTGGAACAGCAGAGTAAAACCATTGGGGTTTAGCTTGACTGAGAGCTACCCMGTGCTGATGGAAACAAATGTTTTCCCTTCAGTCTCTTCAATCTGTGCCTTCCACAAGGGTATTTCAAATTCAGGTGTTGGGTAGGGTTTGTTCTGATGTTTAAGTAACACCGTGTTAATTYCTTTACTAAGATTGTGTAGTGGTTGTTAATGCTCAGCTCCTCCTCAAATAAATGGTTTGTGAGGGTGGGAAAGAAGGGGCTTTTTCCCAGAAGCTCCTGGAAAACTTTTTGTTCTAGAGACAAATGCCATAGCTTGGTGTTTCTGTTGGCACCTCCTACTTTGCCATGCTGGTTTAGGACTTGTTCTGAAATCCTTGTTACGTAGTGCACACTGGCCGAGGGCAAACTCAGACCACCTAACTTTTTTATGTAGAGCACTGACCTGCATCTTAGCCTGCTCTCATCTGCCTCAAAGAGAGAGGCCAGACAAGCCTCACACTGCAGTTCCAAGGCCAACTGCTCAGCCACCCRGCCAGCAGCGGAGGTAACACTCTGTGTGTACAGCGAGAGATCTGTCAGTGCATTGCTCAGGGCACAGCTGGGCAAAAGCAGGCCTGCACTGTAGGGGCATTCTGGGGCCACTGTCCTCCCAGGAGCTGGGTGATACTGAGCACGAATGCTGCCCAGGGTCAGGTCTCTCCTCCGAGGCAGGGATATGTCCCAGGAGTTTGTACTGCCACTGCYGTGTGGTGAGCACRGTGCCAGGCTGCAGCTGGCCAGCAGTTTGTGGTAAGCAGCCTGGAACACAGTGCAGGTGGGGCTTCCACTACTGCCACAGGCTTGCTGGAGGGCCCTGAGAAACTGCTCCAGAGGGTCCAGGCTGAAGGCATGTGTGTGGAGGTGCTGGGAAGGAACACCTTCTGGACAAGAATAGTTGGAGCAAAGCCACTTGAGGCTTTCAGCATTGAGCAAGAGGCTCAGAAATCCTAGTTTGCGTTTGCTCTTAACAATGTATCTCCCCATAGAGTCCGTTAAGTTGACAAAGAAGCTCTTGGCCTCGCTGAAGAGGTTGCTTATTTTGGTGTAATTCCCAGTTAGCTGCTTTTTACAGCTACTTCTGCCATAGAGTATATCACACACAGAGCTCATCAGGCGCACAAACTTGACAGTGCCGCTGCAGTTCTKAAATGAGGCCAAGCCCAGCTTCTGGAGGTGCTCCAATGCCTCAGCAACGCCCTCGCTGAACAGCAAAGTCGCAAGGTTGACCTTCAGGTGATAACTCCCTCTATGCCCAGCCCTGCCTGACTCAGGAGTGCACGGCTCCAACACCCTCTGCTCCCTCAAAGATGCCAGCTCCACCACATGCTGCCACCACATGGTGTCACTGAGCCACTCTACCTTCTGGAAGCACTGCAGAGCATTCCTTATCAGSTGGAGGGCATCACAAACGTCAAAGAAGTATGCGATGCTGTGAGCAGAACCGGGTGGATGCTGGAAAGTGCACTGAGTCCTTTTGGGATCTATCCTGATCCCCAAAGCTCTGGCAGTGTCAGCACCGCGAGCTGAGGCACCCGATGTCACAGCCAGGACCATGATCCCAATGTTGTTCAGCTTACTGATGGCCTGACGAAGGAGCTGAGCAAGGAACTGGCCAGACGTGCTGTTCACAAAGAAATAGCCAAGGGGAGCTGTCCAAGGGCTCGAGATGCCRACCGCCATGAGGATTATCGCTTCCGACGCCAGCGGAGCTTCGTCAGCATCGAGGATGCCTGCTCCCAAGTCAACAAAGCCCRTCAGCCGCTTGGTCTGTGGGTCCCACTCCTGCTGCTTCTGCAGCRCCATGTCCTGTACCAGCACGGCGCAGTAGCGGTAGGCCTGACCCATTCTCTCCACCATTTCCTGGAGCTGGAGGAAAATGTCATTGCTGAAGCCTGCAGCAGCCTTATTACTAGACAGCCAGCTGCAAAAAAAAGGGAGGATGTGATTAGGAGATGAGATTCTGAAAAAGCTGAAGCAACAGACAGCACTTTTTGCCGCTTTTTACCACTTAGGACATGGTCGTTGGTCATGCCCAGGGCAAAGGTAGCCCTGCTTTCCTTCATACATAGTCCGTTTCTTTTCTCCCAGGCTAGTGGTGGGAAGCCAAGGAAAGTACCAACCATGCAGGGAAGTAACAAAGCAGCTTCCTGCYTTTTTGAAGTATAAGATGTCATGGCAAAAGGGAAAATAAATACAGAAATACAAATCAGGCTATCCAGAGGGCCAGCAACACCCATCTGCTCTCCTTCCCAAACCCTCAATGGTCCAAGAGTATACTGCTCTTCTCAATACACTCCATCCACTACTCCTGGCACCCTTTTCAGCAGTTTCCGTGCTAAACCCCCACAGGTTGGCATGGACTGTGTGTATCCCCCGGGATTCCTCCAAYTGCCCTACAGGAGTCTGAGACCCTACACCTGCAGGGGGAGAGCTTCTTCAGCCTTGTTCAGGTAGATTCAGGCAATAAATTCTGATAAGCAGGCTGGGACAGAGTGTGGGTGTGTCATTCCTAGGCTGTGACCCRCATGCAGGGATACATTCCACCTCTCTGAGATGAGGAGTATCAATGTTTCTTGGCATTTGCTTTCTACTCTGCTCCTGTTACTAAAAAGAAAGCAGGGAAAATTACTACTGCTTAATATCTTCAGGACAGATCTGTTACACCTATTTCTACACAAGTACCTGGAAATATACTRAATAAATGAATGAATGAAAACTTGCTTTGTTAGGCTGCAAGGATGAGGGAGGGGAAGAATCTTCCGTAGGTAATCATAGGCCTTAATATGGTAGAGGTGGAGAAGACAAGCAAATTGCTTCATTTCTGGTGAGTAGTCTGCTATCTGCCTCCAGCTGTGCAACTCGTAAGGCAAATCTGTGTAAGAAATTACAAAAGGTCAACTTTAGTGAAGCAAATATATGGCTGGTAACAGAGGGAGGCATGACGCAAATACGCTGCAGAATACAAGGCAACAGGACAGCCTCTGGAACAACTTCAGTCCCGACTGTGCCTCACCTGCCTCTTGCCACAGGTTAAAAGCAAAGACATGAAACCAGAGCGAGGGAGTGCACTCTGCTTCAGCAAGCATGCCCAGCAGTACCTGAAAACTGCGCCTGCAGCAAACTCACGATTTCCTCAGAAAGCTGCCGCTTCTCCGCCAGCTCCCTGAGGAGGCTCGGCACGGTCCTGCATCGATGTTCGGGGCCGCGTCTGCCTGCGGCCGGGAGCTGCTGCTGGTGCCGGGGAGCGTCGGGCGGCGGCCGCGGCTCGGCCGCCCGCTGTCCCTGCAGGCTGTAGTTGTGGTCCCCGGCCGGGGGGCTGGGCAGCGGCTGCTTCAGCGCTCGGCCGGGGGTCCTGCTCCTCCTGCGGCCGGCGCCCGGCGGCTCCTGGCRGGGGAGGGAGAGGAGAGATCAGGGCACACGGCGGAACCCCCGGGAGGGAGCGGGGAGCGCGCCCGGTACCCGCCCGCACCGAAGGGGGGAAGCGGGAGGGCACGGCCCCCCGCCGCAGCTTCCGCCGCAGCCCGTAGCGCTCGAARTCCCCTTCGGCGAAGTGTCGGGAGCAGAGGATGGCGCCGGGGCCGGGACGCCACGCCCGGCGGCTCCGCGGGTCCACGCGGTTCACGGCGCGGATCCACTCGCGGCGCTGCGCGGCGTCCACCGGGAACCTGCGGCAGAGGGAATAGGAGGGATGGAGGGATGGGATGGAGGGCCGGGGACCGGCGGGCGGCGCGGCGCGGGGCGGCCGCACTCACTGGTGGAAGGAGATGCCGCGCTCGCGGCTCCGCCCGGTGTCGCGCGCGGTGCAGCCCAGCGCGGAGCAGCTCCGCGTCATGGCGGCCCCGCGCGCGCCGCCGAACGCGCCGGCCGCACTGCGCGCGCCCCGGCGGGCCCGCCCATTGGCCGCCGCCGCCGCCCGCGCGCCAGGCCATCGCCTCGCCATTGGCCGGCGGGCCCGGCGGACCGCGGCCCCATTGGGCGCTGGGGAGCGGCGGCGTCAGCGCGGTGCCGGCGGCGGGACCGGGGAGCGAACCGAGCCAACCGGGAGCGGCGGCGGCGGCGGGCGCAGCCAGTGGCGAGGGGCGATCCTCAGCGCCAATGGGAGCCGCGCCTCCMGCCCCTATTTATAGCGGGGCCGGAGCGCCCGCCGTCTCTCCCGCTGTGCCCCCGCTGAGCCGCGCCATGCGGCTCGGACAGCGCCCGCGCCCTGCACGGCGTCTGCCCGCCGAGCGTGCGCGGGCCCCGGCGGCGGCGGGAGGCGGCAGCGGAGCTGTGCCCCGGTTGCCGTGAGGAGGTGGGTCCGGGGCCGCCGTCCCCGGCTGTGGAAGCCGGCCGAGCTCCCTCGGGCTGTTCCCCCGCCCTGGGGTGGCCCCTGTCCGGTGATGAGTCTCACTGCTGTTCACATCATGAGCACGCCATGATTACTGCCCTTGAGCTGAGGACAGGCGGCACCGCGGCCCCCACGCTGCCGGCGCTGCCCCCGGCTCCCCCCGGTCCCGGCGCCCCTAACCAGTTTCCCTCTTCCCCAGGGCCGATGGCTGCTCCCGCCCCGAGGGACACGGAGGACACCCGTGGAAGGAGGACACTGCACAGCCCCACACACACCCCCCACCACCACCACCACCCCCACGCCGCTTCCCGTCGCTTCCCGCCGCTCCCCGTGCCGGGAAGGCGCGGCCCCGCTCGCCGCCGCCCGGAAGCCGCGGGGCGCGCCCGGAAGGCGGTGGCGGCCGGGAGGCGGTGCCGGGGCTGCCACGTTGGAGCGGTCCGGGGACGGGTGAGCGCCGGGGACGCTGAGGTGAGGCGGGGACGGGGAAGCCCTCTGCTTCACAGCTGTTTTCCTCCGGCTGTTTACAGCCCCTGTCGGAAATGGGGCGAGTGTGGCGGTCCCGCTGGCCGTGCGGGGTATTCCCGAGGCGGGGGGAGCCCTAGGGTGCTGAAATAGGACCCAGAAATGAGCTGCYGAGGGTGYTTGGCGGCTGGGGKCTGGGGAGGGTCTTCTCGGGGCTGSGCTTATTCCGTGGGTTAAGGCAGAAAGCTGCTGTAGAGTGGTCGCTGCCTTGACGCTGTGAGAAGCGGTTTTTTTTTCACAGCTGTTGAAGCTTTGCCCACGTTTTCCTGTGTTATGTTCAGCATCCATCAGTTTCCTCTACGTGTCAATGTTGTACTGCCAGTGGAGAGTTATTCTTCCCCTCCCCCCGGGTGTGCTCTGGAGAGGATGGCTTAGGTGCCTGTCTGTGGGATATCTTTAGGAAACGGTCTCTCTGACCACTTCTGCCAAGTCCTGATGCAGCTGCTCAATCTGTGGCAATGCAGTCTCACCGAGCGTCATTAACCATCACCTTTCCTGATCTTACTTTTCAGCAAAATGAAGCTGAAGGAAATAGACCGTACTGCCATGCAGGCATGGAGCCCTGCCCAGCAGCACCCKATTTACCTGGCCACAGGTGAGTTTTTGGGAAGCATGGCCTAGCAGACCTCGGGCTGTGTGTGGTGGCCGCCATGAAGGAGCCACTATTAAAAGTTGTAGGAGTTACTCTGTGCCCTGAGGGCTGAAGCAGGGTAAATGTTGTGGTGCCTTGAGTGGAGTTCTCCAGTTGTGCTGATAAAAACATTCTTTGCATTCTGCAAGTGACCGCACGCATCCTCCTCTTTCTGCCGGATAAGGTGACACAATCCAAAGTGCCAGTCACTTGTGGCTCCTTTGTAACTTTGATCATGTTTTGGGCATCATCAGGGAGAGGTACTTGCCCAAAGCTTTTCTTGCTCATTAAGAAACACCCAAAGGGGGAACCATGGGGAGGAGAGTTATGTGGAACTACATCTAAGTAACAGAAATAGTGACCTGTGAAATAGTGACCCCATCTTGGCGTCCTTTCTGCAAGGATGATGTTTTTATTCCCTTTCTTGTGCTGCATTTGCAGTTGCTGCTTCATGTATTGTGGCTTTCTTATTGCTAGACGTGCTTCCTTACAGGTACCTCAGCTCAGCAGCTGGATGCAACCTTCAGTACAAGTGCTTCTCTAGAAATATTTGAGTTGGACTTAGCAGATCCCTCACTGGATATGAAGAGCTGTGCCACGTTCTCCTCCTCACACAGGTAGGCAGTGTTGTAAAGGAAAAATAACGCATGGAACTGTTGCGTGTGGTGCGTGTGGAAAGGTCACTTTGTGTAGTTTGCTGGCACTTGCTTKGGAGAAAAGCAGAAGTTCAGCACGGAAAGATGAAGGCAAGTGAGTACAATTGATATTGTGGGGTAATGAGCTTGGACTCCAAGAGGTTGCAAACAGCTCATGCTCTGACATAAAGTGAAAGTTTTTGAATATGTATGTGGATCCTTTATCTCAGGATGTCCCTGGGATTCACAGGAGAACAGAAGAAAATGTGGTGGCATTTTTTATATTGCCTCGTCCTGTTTGTATTTAGGTATTTCAGGGGTTTCCTGTAACATAACTAGCTTGGGTCATGTTGTGTGTGTTCCCATAGTTGGGAAACCAAATTCCTGTCTGCACAGCTCCACTTAGCTTTAAGGACATGGTAGTTCCTTACCATGTCCTTACCCAGACAAATATTGTTAGCCTCAGGGCATCCAGTTTCCATCTCAGCAGCACTTGCATCAGCTCTCTGGCAGAGCTGGAACAACCACAGTCCCATTTTAAACGCCCTGCACTCTGAGCAGAGCTGATGATAACGTGTCCTACTGACCTGCTCAGAGCAGAATGCAGTGTTAGATCTTTGAGTTTCATYGTTTTACCTTGTTTTAAGTATCACTGAGATTTTTCAAGACTTGCCATTTGCTTATTGAATTTCTAGGAGCACAGCTTATAACTAGGTTGCAGTGCTCCTTGGAAAGTACCTCCCTTGACCAGCAACACACCAATTTGACTTTGCCCCAGAAAATGCATTAAAAAGGAGGTTGAAAGTTGTTTGTTTGTTTCTAATTAAAGATTAGATAGCAGTGTATACGTCAGGCTATATTTTGGTTTGCAGCAAATGAAAAGGTCCAGGTGATTGGACTCGTGAAAGATAACTCCTTAATTGCCCTCCAAGAAAAGTTTTGCACTGCTTTTTTAGATCCATATTTTATCTTGGAAGGAGTAAAGGGCAAGAGAAAAATAATTGCCCAGATAATTTTTGATTTTTTTTTCCTCACTTGTTTCCTGCCTTCACTTTGGATTGTTTTAAATCCTCTTCAGTCTTGCCTGGATGACCCTGTCAGTCACTTAAATGTTCATACATTTACGTAGTTAGGTGCAGAAGCAAAAAAATCATACCCAAGGATTTGGTCTGATATCACAGACCAGTTTCCATTTGTAGAATCATTCTTTGGTGAACCCCTGCTGTAATCTGTGACCCCTGCTGTTATGGTGTTTCTCACCCAGCATATGCTCTTTGTGTAGTTTTTTGCAGTATCCACCTTTTTATGCTAAAGTTGCTGTGATTTAAAGAACTTACTTGTAGATTGCTGAGAGATAATGAAGAGATGAAGAATATTACAGTGAATGCTAAGGTAGCTCCTTGCCACCTTCCAGTCAGTGTGGGTTTGCTTTCTGCTGGCATAAAACCTGATAGGTGGCTGTGTCATTTTATATAGGAGATATTTGTTYTTCACATGGCTAAATGCACAGGAATGCTGTTTTGCTTATGCAGGAAGTTAATTGAGTTGAAGGGAATTTGGGTATTTACAAATGGACACAATAGTGTGAAAGCTCTTAATTTCTGGAAGTATTTTTAATTCCTCATAATTCAGTCTGCCAAATAGGATGTGGTCCAGGAGATGTGTCTGTGATGTGAGTAAACCAGTTGCTGAGCCCCTGGTATGACAGACAAAACACTTGCACATCCAAAAGCACAGATATGGAAAACGTTGTGGAATTTTTCTAGTTTTACCCTTTTTTTCTCTTGTATGAAGCTGCTTGCAAATAGCTGAGGTTTTTCTCCAGGCTGTTGTTGGATGCACTCTCAGCCCTTCCTTTGATTACTCCTGGTGCAGTTAGGAGCACTTACCAGATTTTGCAGCCAAGAGATTAGAGATGTTACCCATTTGCACATTATTGGTTGTGCATGTCATGCCTCTTGTCAATGAGCAGTATTGGGGCATGTCCTCCTGATGGAAGGGGTTGTAAGTACAGAGACTCAACCTTAAGGAGAAATGCAGGCAGTACTTTTCTCTGACTTTAGCTGGGGTGAGCAAAAATGGGGTGCATCAACCTACGAGGAGCTGGTGGTGGATGGTTCTAATACTGTGGGGGCCTCTGTGTCTTACAGGTACCACAAGCTGATCTGGGGCCCTCACAGCATGAGCTCGGGGGACAGAGTGTCTGGAGTCCTGATTGCTGGGGGTGAAAATGGAAATGTCATTCTGTATGACCCAGCCAAAATCATAGATGGAGAGGCTGAGGTAATAATTGCCCAGAAAGACAAGCACACAGGACCCGTGAGAGCACTTGATGTCAACATGTTCCAGGTTGGTGTTTCTGCTGTTCCTCTTAAAATACTTCAGTAGAGGARTGGCCTGTCTTAACTTGTAACCTCAGATGTTTCTGCTGCTTCCCCTCCCCTGAAAAGCATGAGCTATATTTGGTGTTTGAGTCTCTGTTTGTATTTAGCAGGTAAAATCTGTCCTGTTACTGGCATTTCAGGATGGGAATGAAAGCATCTAAGCTGTCTGCTTCACTTTTTCCCCTCATTGCTTTAGTGGATCTTTTTAGTCAGGCTATGTGTGAAGTAGAGGCGGTTCTCAGGATGTTTTTCGTCAGTCTTCTCTCTTAACTTGTGCATTGTGTGCATTGTGCCAGTACTTTTCTCACCACACAGAAAGTAATTACATGCTCTTATTCGTGTTTCTGGTGAG